CACCGCCCTCCACGCCAGCCGGCTCCGTCGCCGGACCTCCCAGCTGACGGGCGCAGGTCCGGGGGTCGCCAGCTGACAGGCGCAGGAGGTAGGCGCCATGGCGGCCTCCCAGCCGCCTGCTTCTTCGGCTGGACGCAGCGCCGAACTCCTGTGCCCGTCAGCTGGGAGGTCTGGCGACGGAGCCGGCTGGCGTGGAGGGCGATGGGGAGGCGGCGGCTCGGCGGGCGTGGTCCTGCCTGCCCGCGAATGTCGGGCCCACCCGCCCCATCTCTAAAAGAAAAAAATCTTCCGCCCAAGCATAACGCCAGCAGTTCTGTGCCACGGAGGCTTGAGACACGGAGGCACGGGACGCGGAGCGGGGCGGCGCTGTGGGAGGCGGCAGGACGGGGGGGAGGGGTTACCTGCATCCTGCCAGCCGAATTCTGGAAGCCTGCCTGAATGAAGAATTTTAGGGGGTGTTGAAAGCGAGACAGACTGAGGGCTGTATTAAGGCCATAGATGGCTGCGTAAGGAGAGTGGAAGGGAGGCGAATTTGGGGTGGAGCAGAAAACACGGGGGGAAGGCCGGGCCCCACGCGCGCCAGCTACCCTCCCAGTGCCCGCCGTTGCCCCCCGTTTGTTGCGGCGGCAGGCAGGCCCAGGCGCTCCTGGGCGGCCCTCCCACCCCTGGCCCTCTTTTACTTACATTTAGTAGTTGCTCAGCAGGGAGGGGTGGAAATTTCCAGAAAGCTCGCCTTAGCTGCAGACAACTTGCAGCAACGTTTGCCGACTGGGACTTTTGGCGGGCTCAGCAGGGCAGAAACAGCCTGGACAATTCCTATTGGCTTTTGAAAGCCAATAGAATTAGACTCTATTCAAGAGAGTCTATTCTATTGGCGTTCGAAAGCCAATAAACTATTGGCTTTCGAATGCCAATAGAATAGACTCTCTTGAATAGAGTCTATTCTATTGGCTTTCAAAAGCCAATAGAATAAGAGGGAATAGCACAGCTCATGAAAAAGGGGGGGGGGAAATGCCGGACTGCATTTCATAAGGATTCTATGAGGAAAAACTTCAGAACTTTGGCGACCCCTGTGAAATGGTCGTTCGACCCCAAAAGGGGTCGCGACCCACAGGTTGAGAACCGCTGATTTAAGATAAAAGGCAGTCTTGGGTTAATGTCATGGTTCCGATTGATGAAACCAATTAAAAGAACTTCAAGGCAAAGATTTCTTCCTTAAAGAACATTTTATTCAGGAAACAAAGTATCGGCACTTACATAGTTGAACCCAAGACTAAAGTTCCCTCCCCCCCGATACAAAGTACCAAGTTGCAATTCCCACCCCAGAAAGGCTGTCATAAATCACATTCACCAATTATTCTAAAATGTGGGCTCTCCTCCCAACTTTTCAACCCGCCAAAACTTTATCTAACATTGACCTTGATTTTTCACCCAGCTGCAAATGTTATGGCTAACAGAAAATGCTCAGGCATTCCCCCCTCCCCCGCTTCTACATCTGAGAATCCCAAACAACAGAAAAAAGCAAAAGGAAAGCAAAAGGTAAAATGGCTACAGTTTCTCAATTGACAGCACCACATTCCATAATGGGTAGACTGTCTAGGCCAGTGTTTCTCAGCCATAGCAACTTAAATCGAGTGAACCTCAAGGCCCAAAATTCTGGCAGTTGAAGTCCACACAGCTTAAAGTTGCTAAGGTTAAGAACCTCTGATCTAGCATATAAATTGCTACTTTTATGAAGAATTATATAGCATTTGTTTTTGTCTATTTCTTGTTTTTCATTCTAGGAAGTAAAGAAGACTTTAAGCCAGAAGGTCAAGGAGATTTACGAGAAGTGCTTAAAAACACACTGGAGTTCTGCTTATCAAGGTAAGCATTTAATGGATATGATCTAGTTGCGCCTCCTGTTATTGCTATTAAGAGGATAGATTAAATGTTAATTAGGGTGGAATAAGTGATATAATTAATTATGAATGCCATAAGCAATATGGCCTCTGGACTGCAAAGAAATTCATGATTGGGCAGGGATATATATATATTTGTGTGTGTGTGTGTTAATTTTATAGCATGAAAATCTGAGGGGTGGGTGGGAAGGAATAATACAATAGCCAAGATTTTATTTTCCTTAAATGTTTAATTTTCTTTTCTTGATTTCCTCAACTGAAACACAAAAGAAGGCAATTTTACAAGCTGCCTGCCATTTGCTAGGTGTTCCATGGGTTCTCTATTACAGTAAAGTTTGTTATTTCAGAGGTTTAGAAAAACTAATTGTTGAAAACAGATGCAAGTCAATTGTATGCTGTCCTCTGCACTAAAAAGGAATGTTTCAATACTGGTACCTTCTTTTGTTTATCATTAAATGTAAGGTGCCAAACACTTGGAATTCTTGTATTGTATATAGCAGTAATTTTCCAATACTCCTCATGTAACCTAGTTACTGGTTTACTCATTTAATATAAAGTTGTAGCTTTAAACAGAATTAGCTGAAGCAAATGTAACCCACCCGCCACCTTCATGGCTGGCCATCAGTTTGGTATATTACTCAATTTAATGCTTTTTAAAAGCATCTCAAAAATGGGCTGCTTTTGGCTTTCTGTGTCAAATTGTGCAAGAAAAGCAGGACTTTACAATCTAAGTGATGAGAAAACCAAGGTTGGTTATAATTGTTTAATCTTACTAGAAACAAAGGCATTTTAAAGTAAAACCATGATCGTATCTTAATATTTAGGAATAATCTTGAAAGCCAGTGCAACACTATGAAGGTCAATGTACTAATTGCACGGATAATCAATTTTGTAGTAATTTTTTTCTTTTTTCTTCAACAGAGAGAATCTTGCCAGTGACATGTACCTTATATCTCAGATGGACAGTGATCAGTATGTGCCAATAATGACGGTAGCTAATCTTGATCATGTCAGGAAGCTGAGCACAGATAGGGATTTGATTGTTGAAGTGCTGCGATGTAAGTAATGGCAAATCAGGTAATATACTCTCTCTGTGTGTGTATATATAAATATACATACATACAAATATATATATGATTTATTTGCTGCCCATCTCTCCTCAAGGTGACTCTGCGCTGCTTACATTAAAAGCAATAAAACCATAAAAATAAATATTTCTGATACAAATAAAAATACAAATTACAATTAAAAGATGGGGGGAGGGAGCAAGATGTGCGGGGGGGGGAAGGTGGGATCTTCTCTTAAACTATCAACCACTTGCAACGCGATACTCCCCTGTTGGGGCCCCAGGCCAACTGGCAGAGCCAGGTCTTCAGGCCCTTACAGAAGGTCAGAAGGGTGGAAGCAGATCTCACCGTTCAGGGGGTACAGTGTTCAAAGGGCAGGAGCCACAGCAGAAAAGGCTCTTCTCCTGGATTCTGCCAGCCAAAATTCCTTGACTGCAGCATGCCCCTTCTGCCAGCACGGTTGGGGCAGGCACGTCACATTGGGGTGAGACAGTTCCTCAGGTAACCTGGACCCATCCCATGCAGGTCTTTAAAGGTGATAACCAACACCTTGAATTGCACTCGGAAGCAAACCAGCAGCCAGTGCAGCATGTGGAGCAGTGGTGCAACATGGGCCACTCTAGGGGCCCCAAGAACTACCCACACCACCACACTCTGCACCAATTGTAGCTTCCAAATGCTCTTCAAGGGTAGCCCCATGTAGAGTGCATTGCAGTAGTCCAAGGGTTTGCGTGACTGAGCGCAGGAATTTTTGCACCATTATTTAGAATTAAAGAGGGCTTAGATGAGATGGGTGAAGTTGAACCTCATTTTTTTCCGTTAAAAAGCAATGTATGTTAAAATGGTAACACCATTTTTTTTGGGGGACACCTTAACAAATAGCAGAATTAAGTCTCTCTATACAGGTAGTCCTCGACTCACAACCACAATTGAGACTGGAAAATTTGTTGTTAAGTGTTTTTTTCATTAAGCGAGGCATCATGTGACCGCACCCAAATTTACTACATTTTTGTCACAGTCGTTAAGCAAATCACCACCGTTAAGTGAAACATCATGTGATCATGATTTGTGACCATCCTTGCTGGCTTCCCATTGACTTTGCTTGTCAGAAGCTGGCTGGGAAGGTCGCAAATGGCAATCACGTGACCCCAGGATGCTGCAACTGTCATAAATGCGAACCGGTTGCCAAGTGCCCAGATTGTGATCACATGAATGTGGGGAAGTGATCACATGACTGTGAGAACCAGTCAGAAGTCACTTTTTTCAATACCATTGTAACTTCAACTGGTTGCTAAACAAATGGTTGTAAGTCAAGGACTACCTGTATATATTCACTAGACTGAGTCAGGCTTACGTAATGTATATATGCCTGCTGGCTCCTTCTTGTGAACTATGTAGCTTGCAAACAGCTATCCTGAATAATGGCAGTTTTCGTGAATACAATGTGCATTGAGTGCCTTTCTTTGGGCCTATATGCACTCTCAAGAAAATGTGTGTTGGAGTTAGAAGGCCTTTTAAGGAGTTGGCAACAGGATAAACTGACTTCTTTGCACTCTGCCAGCACCTCCTACCATCAAATACATATTTTTGTGAGACTGCATGATTATGGCACAAGCCTAGGAAAAGGCACAGCTTCTTTAAGGAGGTCTCCTCGGCCCCATCCAAGCCCGTTTTCCAAATCAGAACAGCTGGGCATCACTGTTTAAAGTAGGAGCCCTGGTGGTGCAGTGGTTAAAGTGCAGTATTGCAAGCAAACTCTGCCCACAGCCTGGAGTTTGATCCTGACGGGGCTCATGGTTGACTCAGACTTCCATCCTTCCGAGGTTGGTAAAATGAGGACCCAGATTGTTGGGGGCAATATGCAAATACATTGTAAACTTCCCAGAGTGCTGTAAAATGCTATGGGGTGGTATATAAGCCTAAATGCTATTGCTGTTGCTAAATGCTAAAGTTTAAACATGGAGATAGAGCAGTTAAGATAATTTCTACCTTAGGCATTGGTTATGTTTGATGGTATAGTGGCAGGGATGAGCCTATAGCATGAAAAGTCAAAGATATCTTCTTCCCTCCAGAAGCCCTCTGGATGGTACACACCCTTACCCTGCATTGGTGTAGTTGTTAGGTGGTGGCAGAAGTAACTACAGTCTTCCAGAGAGATGTCTTTATCCCATATCCTCTCACTTAACCCAAGTGTGTCACAGAGCCTGGGAGCTCCCAACCTATAGTCAACAGATAAAACATTCAGCAGCAAAAGAAATAAAAATACCATGCTGCTCAATTCACAACACTATCTTAAAGGAATCTTCTATAAAATGTTACAAAGGAAAATGTAAGTTTGAGGCAGATCTCAGGAGATAAGACGTTTATGAATAACATAAGAGACACTGCTGCACAGAGATCTCAGAATGCATTAAACATAGAATATCTGAACTTCCATACTATAAAATATATATCGGAACCAATAAAGATCTGACTTGTACACAGGAAATAAAGAATAACCTTAGCTCACTGCTGAATAGACATTTATCTTTGTCTACCCAAGTAACGGTCCTTTTGGATCAAGTGGTTTTTTTCCTGGTTCAGTTTTACCTGTGTTTGCTTTTTCGTTTTCTGGAAATTCCAAATTTTAATTTGGATCCGATGAAGGGTAGTCTCAGACTTTTCTTTCTCTTTACAGGTAATCCCCGAGTTACGAGCGTTCACTTAACGCTCGTTCAAAGTTACGTGATGAAGTTACGAATATTGTAGCACCACGGCATTTGTTTGCCCTTATGAGCGACTTCAGTGGCACTGCAACATTCACCCTATTCCCCCCCCCTCCTCACAACTGCTTTCCCCTCCCTTCCTTCCATGCCGGACTCACTTACCTTACAAAAATCCTCTCTGCTGCAGTTTCTTTCCCTTTGAAGGAGAGGAGAGTCGGCTTGGAAATTTTTTTTGCACCAAGAATGGAAGTTTCTGGAGTCCGTGATCTTGTGCAAGTGTTTGAAGTCGCACCAAATCACGGACATCAGAAACTTTCATTCTCTATGCGAAAAGTGCCTGTCTCCTGCTCCTGCCCCCAACTCCTTTCTGCCTGACAGCAAGCCTGAAGCCTTCAACTGAGGGAGAAGGCCAGGCCCCTTGCACCCGCGTCCAGCCCGCCGGAGCTCGCTGTGCAGGGGGAGAAAGTGACCCCGTTGTCCCCGGAGCCTTCCTCCAAGTGGCCCGGAATGGAGGGCGGGGGAGGCTTCTGCATGCCTCCGGAGGCTGGATCCAGTCCTCGGAGGACTGCTCCAAGTTGGATCAAGGCCTTGGAAGTTCCATTCTTGGTGGCAGCAGCTTGGAGCAGTCCTCCCGAGGGCTGGATCCAACCTTCGGAGGTATGCAGAAGTCCCCCCCAACCTCCGTTCCTGGTGCAAACAGCTAGGAAAACCCCTCTGAGGCTTGGATCAGGCCCTTGGAAGCTTCCGCGTTCCCCCCCCATGGCCCGATCTGGTCTCTGGAGGCCTTTTCCAGGGCGCTGCGGCCAGAATCTGAGGCCGGGGGAGGCTTTCGTGCCCCCCCGTGGCCCGATCAGGGTTCCAGAGGCCTTTTCAAGGCCGCTGCAGCCCAGATCTGAGGCTGGGGAAAGCTTCCGCAGCCCCCCATGGCCCGATCGGGCCTGGAAAAGGCCTCCAGAGCCCAGATCGGGTCACGGGGGGTCGCGGAAGCGTTCCCTGGCCTTAGATCTGGGCCGCAGTGGCCTGGGAAAGGCCTCCGGAGCCCAGATTGGGCTGCGTGGGATGTCCCCAGCCTCAAATCCAGGCAGCAGCAGGAACCGCGGCAGAGGACATGGATCTTTTCCAGGTGAGTGAGTCTGGCGCGGCAGGCAGGGTGGGGGAAGCATGCGGTATCTTTGTGGGTCGGGGAGGCCTTGGGGGCCTGTTCCAGCACTAGGCCCTCCATGGCCTTCCTCACCCCGAGATACCTCATGTTCGCTTTACGAGCCGCGTGTGTTTAACGAGCACTGGAGTGATCTCGTACCTCGAACGAGATTCACTCTACGAGTTTTTGATTTACGAGTGGAATGGGCAGGCTCCATTACACTCGTAACTCAAGTACTACCTGTATTCCGGCACACTTTCTTCCTTTTACAGATAGTCCTCGAGGTACGACCATAATGGAGTCTGCCCATTGTAGTAGCATGTCACAGCAGTCGTTAGGTGAAACGTGTCACCTAACGACCCCCCCCATCCCTGCTCTCCCCAATGAAACGTAAAACAAATGTGCAGGTTGTTAAGTGGATTGTGGGGTGGCTCCTGGGTGGGGGAGATGATAGGAGGTCTAGTACAGGCCCAGGCCCACTTGCCCTAGCCCTCCCAAGGCCTCACCCACCCTCAAGACGCCCCATGCTCCACTTCCCACACCTTGAATACCAACAGGCCTTTTCCCACTCCCACCGGGTCCTCCCAGGCCTTAAGCCTGATTCCCACCCCACCAGGCCAAACACCCTTCAACTCACTTACCTTTTGAAGAGCTCTGAGGCCTTCCAGAGTGCTGGAATGACTTCCTTGTTTACATAGCTGCATGGCACGGTTCCGAAAGTGGCTGCCGTTTTGTCCCGCCCACAAAACGGCCACATTTGGGTCATTGCCACATGACTCGGGGAAACACTGCTTCATTTTGCTGCCTTAACAAGCTCTGCACAGTGCTGCAGAAGCTTTCTGCAGCATTCAGAAGCTTCTGCAGCACTGTGGAGACCTTTCTCAGACAGCAAAATGAAGCAGCTTGTCTAGCATCAACCATTTTGTCCCCACCCACAAATGGGCAGGACAAAATGGCAGCCGCATTTGGGTTGTTGCTGCATGGCCCAGGGACAAAGTACGTTGTTCTGCCGTAACAAGGTCTGCACAGTGCTGCAGAGGCTTTCTGCAGCATTGAGAAGCTTCTGCAGCACTGTGCAGACCTCTCTAAGGCAGCAAAATGAAGCAATTTCTCTGGTGGCCATTTTCTCCCACTCACAAACAGGTGGGACAAAATGGTGGCCATATTTGAATCGCCACTGTGCAGCCCAGGGACACATGGCCTACCCTGCTTCTACAACATGAGGTTGGAAGAGCTTCAAAAGGTAAACGTGGGGCATGATGGGCATGTGGGGAGGAGGTCCAAGCGCTGTGGGGGGGTGACATGGAGAGAGGCGGGGGGCGCTGCAGTGACCCTGTGATGGATCGTAAGGGCAAATGACAGCAGGTCCGCCACAGCCATTGTAACTTGGGTTCACATGGGGTCATATGTAGCTTGGAGGGGGGGTCTGTCCGTAATTTTGAAGGTTCATTAAATGACCTGTCATACCTTGAGGATTACCTGTATAAGAGATCAGACTGTAGTTTACAGGAGAACAAACACCCTTCTGGAAAAGGAAAGGGCAATCTGCTATGAACTCCTCAATCATATTTCAGTTAGAGCAAATATAGATCATGGCTCTGAACTTGTCTGGGAAGGGTTAAAACAGGGGGAATCATATTTTTAATAAACAACTGATCTAATGCTCCTATCAGTTAATAGAGTGTTAAAAGTAGTAAATACAATACAGAACTCTACTTGTTGATACTAAAGCAACAAGATTGTTCTTTTTTCAGCATTGCCTTTAGTCCAAGTTGATGAGAAAGGTGAAAAAGTCAGGCCAAACCAAAATCGCTGCATTGTAATTTTACGTGAGGTACCCGAATCTACTCCAATTGATGTAAGTATATTATTTCAACAGCAAAGCTTGTAGATTTTTTAAATTTACAAGAATACTAAAATACTAATAACAGAGAGGATACCTAGAGCATTTTACTATTTAGTATTTCGTAGTCTGTCTTGAAATTAAGCAGCACTATGTTAGTTCCTAGATACTCTTTACAGACAGTTCTAATATGGCTTCAGTTGGGGGTGAATCAATCTTTGGCTATAGTTCTCAATGAACCCTTCTTCTCTCCAACCCTTGCTGTCTATCATTCCATCCATCCATCCATCCATCCATCCATCCATCCATCATCTATCTATTTATTTATTTTAGGAGGTTGAAGCACTCTTCAAAGGTGAGAACCTGCCCAAGTTCATCAACTGTGAGTTTGCCTATAATGACAACTGGTTTATTACATTCGAGTCTGAAGCAGATGCGCAACAGGTAAGCTTTCTTTTTTGTGTGCGGGTTTGTGTGCACTTGTGCATATGTTATATCGAATTACCTATTTCAGAGATTGTTTCCAGTTACTCTTGGCTGTCAGGGGAAAAACTTGTTTAAATGAAACGAGACAACACACAACAAAAATCTCACTTTAGGATCCAGAGGTTTATTTAAATTGAACACACAGATTCAGTACTTACATTTCAACAGCTTACTGCAATAAGGGCCAAATGCACAAGCAGTCATTAAGTGTGACGGCTTAGTGGCCAAATGGCAACGCCCTTATCTTTTGAGGCATACTTTATACCTTAGTACTATGCCCACCTCTGACGTTCTGGAACCACCCATTAGCCATCCCATTTCATTTTTCTTAGTAAATCCCATCAACATGTGACTTTCTGGAACAGTTCCTTCACTAGTTCCCTTTTCTCGGAACTGACCACTGGGCTAGTTCCCTGTTCTTGCTTTGTTACCCAGTTTCCTGTTTTTCCCTTTCCCTGTTCCAACCACTACTTTCCTCACTACCATTTCTACACATGGCATTGCAGAAGTTGTACCTGTTAGCAAGGGTCAGTTCCTCTTTTCTCATACATTCTTGTCCTATGTTCCGTTTTTGTGAAGAAATGTGTGCCGACCACAAACTGTCACCATTTCCTACTGAAGGTCAACAGCAAGCGAAAGCCAAGTGCTTGTTAGCAAGTTCAAATCTAAACTATAATTGATTAGACCACTCATTAAATATTTATCGATATATTTTTCCTTTCACAGTTCCTACTTCTTGTCCGTAAGGACACTTCTGTTTACTATCCAGAGAATAGGGATATGAACAAAAGGTTGCAAGCATCACCATGTAGTTTAAGACTAGATGGGGCTATCTATTTAATGTTTCAAACTGAACTCTTGTTGATTTAAGACCAACAAGGGAAGTTTTACTTCAGTGCTGTCGTAGCAATATAAGTTTTATCCTAAGAAGGTAAGTATGTATCTGGGCTATCCAAACTTTTCATTGTAGCATACGTTGGATCCCCGATAGGCTAATGCTTAAGCATTGCATAAGCGAGGCAACAGAGGGATGCTCTGAGGGGGGCCATTCAGATGACGTTACGGAATATGTTTGGTCCCGTCAGAAGAGAAATATTTGAGGGGGACAAAGTAACATTGTGCTCCATAGCCCGACTGCTCATTGTCATTAAAGGCGTTGTTGCAGGTTTATGACAAAGGGAGGACACACACTTCCTTATCAGTATAATGATGAGGTAAAGGAGCACAATAATACAAAATAAAATAAGAAGTAACATTAAAATTCTTCCTCCAAAGCCTGAAAACATTCTGGAAAGTATATTCCAGAAACCTCCTGTACCAAAAGACCCAAAGGGTGTCACCGAGTCCTTCCTATTCTCAGTGACAGCCCTTCGTATCCTGGAAATATTGTTGAACAGGCTTTGATTGCCATCTGGGATAAAGATGCAACAAGATTTGCCTATTAATTTGCAGGCTCCACCTTCTTTAGCTAGCAGGTAATCAAGGGTGACCCGATTTTGTAAAACCGTTGTCCTTATGGCTGTTAATTCTGCACCAATCACTTCTAACCTGTCGGCAGTGGTGTTAGCCAAACGCTCCAAAAAAACAGAACTGTTTACACTGTTCCCACAACATATTAATACCTACTTGAGGGAACAGAGTTCCAAAAAAACCAGTACCAACCATTGTGCAGTATTTCTCGCTTATACAACCGGACTGGAGTTAGCAAGTTCAAATTTAAACTATAATTGATTAGACCACTCATTATCAATAGTTATTGATATATTTTTTCTTTCACATGGATGAAACATTATGATGAGAATACAATCAAAGAAGACCACAGCTACTAAGTGACCACAAGGGATCATTCTGCCACATTTGGAAGGAAACACTGACTCTGTTATGTAAATAAGAGTTCCATAATTAAATATGCTAATTATTTTCCAGTTTGGTAGTCAGCAAATAATTAAAGGTAGTCAGAACAAATTATTAAATAAACAAATTATTAAATAAACAATAAACAAATAGCCATCAGCAGTGTTGCTATATAATTGGAATTGCTCCAGTTTGGAAGGTATTTGGAAGAATACCACATAGTTTATTTTTCCCTATTTTATTAGTGTGAACTTGGTAGATTCTGGAAGCCTGATGAAAATGATCCAGAAGCTGTCTGTTCTTGATCTGCTATAAGATTTTAGTGGTACTACTTGGATTCAAATCCCACTGAAATTACTTATATAACTTGTTCCTGTTGACTTTGGTAAATCTAAAAGGCCTATTTTATGATTGTCAAGTTTGCCTGGATTTCTCTCAAGACAGCTTTCAGCCCCGTAACTGCAAACATTTTCCATTCTTTCTGTAGCTGATTCTTTTCCACAATATAGTTATTGCCAGATCAAAGTAAAGATACCAAAATTGATATGTTTCCAAACATGGAAGCTATATTATTTGTAAGCCTGAATTACATGTGACCCTCTTAAGTAGAAAAGTATGAATGCGACTTCCAGTCGTCACACAGCCGCCATGGACGGTTGGGAGACTTGCTCTCTCTCCCCCGTTCAGTTTCGCATTGCTGGGGGGCCCTGAAAAGGGCCGAAAGTCACCCCGAAGAGGTGACCAGCAAGGAGGGGCTTTCGCTGGATCCCGGGAGAGCAGCAACTCTTCCGTCAGACCAGGCGATTCCTCCAAACCGGCGAACGAAAGGACCGGCCATAGAAATATGGCTCGTCCCTAGGCTGCAAACAGCCGAAGTCACACTACCATCTGGCAACTTCAAAGCAGCGTGGACAGGACTGGGTGAGGTTTGCCTCTCTTACATCCTAACTACTTAAATTACCTGCATAAGCTGCTAAAGTACTTTCCCCCCTGTGGTGAGGGAAGGGGGATTCTAGACCTCCCTCCAGAAACAGCGGCTATCAACCACTTGGGAGTTTTAAAACGTTGGAAAAATACTGAGATCTTAATTGGAATCCTATTTCCTAAAATTGGTGGATTATAAGACTTGCAACTTTCTGCTCTCTCTATATATATTTCTTCCTTGATTTTTATTCTAATTACTATTGAAGATTTGGGGGGTTTTCCCCCTTAAAATAGAGTGGGGAAAAAAAAACCCTAAAAAGATCCAACTAACTCTAAGACGTAACCTGCTATTCTCTAAGAGACTTGTTGACAGCTTTGAAAAATAGATAAGATACAAAATAACCTTGAAACACCATATGCAAAATTCAGCTCAGCTCCCCATTTGGTGGACTTTCTGACTGTCAGTTTCTTTCTCTTGAGTTTAATATATTACAATGGAAGGAGAACAGAAAAGGATTTCTTCTACAGAGGAAGTACAGGAACAAATTCTTTGTATGTTAAAAGCGATGATCCAAACTCTACGTATGCAAGCTCTGGATATACAAACTCAAACTATGACTTCAATCAAAGAATTATCTATACAGAATTCTATAGAGAAAGTGAAACAACCAAATGTTATGACAGAAGACTTAGATACTCAACAAATACAGACAATAGAAAACACAAAAAAGAAATTGATAATAGAAAACAAGGAAAGGGCGTTTCTTATAAACCAGAAGGAATTTGAAGATAAACAAGAAAAACAGATGAAAGAGAAGATAAATACTTTGGGACAACTGCATCGAACTGGAAAAATAAAGAGACTACTGGCTAAATCAACTAGTCCTTTTAAGAAAACATCAACTGGACATTCTTATCAACATCAAACAATAGCCACAACAATACAAGGAGGGTTTTTTTGATGATTTAAAGGCAAAAATACGAAAAATGACCTGGCAGAGGAAAAAAGCTAGAATAAGATTGAAAAAGATTGGGGTTCTGATCTATATATGAGATCTAAAATAGAATATATCTAAATAGATAGAATATGTATTCTGAACACAAGACATTGTAACGATTTGAGATAAAGAAAATTTTGGTCATATAAAATCTAGAAATATGTTGAAATAAGAATATTATATTGTCATTAGATTGGTAAGATAGATGGTAGAAGTTATATATAAGGTGTGTATTTTAAATATTAGAATGTATGAGCAATTGGGATAAAGGAATTGTGTTTAATTAAAAATTTGGAAAAATTAAATATTAAATGTAATCTGAATGTCTACAAATAATTAAGATTTGAATTTAAGATATTGTTATGAGTTGAGACAAAGGTTAAGTAAAACTTAAAAGTATAAGTACTAATAATTAAATTTGTATATGGGTTTGTGGTATAAATGTTGGTGGTTTATTTTTATTTATTTTTTTCTCTTTCTGGAAAGGAAGAAAGGAAGGAAGTGAAAGGAAGAAAAGAAAAAAAATTATTAGCTCCAAATGTGAGATAGGAGACTTAGAAATTGGGATCATTTAAAACCTGGAAATTATAAAGATTAAATGTTAAACTTAAACATCAATGGCAAATTAAAGTTAAGAAAAACTTACTAGGTTATTGTCTAAAAGGTGGAATGTCAAATTAATTAAGATATGTATAGACTGAAGATTATTGATG